AACTCGCACTTAGGCGCCTCAGAGGCAAAACAGCAGCAAGGCTTCTCTTGCTGCAGCCCAGCTGTCGTGTCTCTCACGCGACGTGTGGTGAGATGCATTGCAGAGAAGGTGGGACAATGGGCCCAGCAGAGTAACAAGAGTCTGGTCTGCTGGACTGAGGCCAGACAGTACCTTGCTTATCTGGCAGGCCCAACAACTGCACTTAGACCGCGTATCCGTGGAGCATTTGTTAGGTGTTGCACTTGGACGGCTCCAGGCCTGAGCTGCGAAGCTAGACCATTGGAACAAAAGGAAGTGTGTGTCTGTATGGATCTCCCAAGGAAAAGCCAGACTGTGTGATGAAGGATACTGATGCTGCTTCGGGGGAGAGACGACTGGCTAGTCCCTGGATGCCCATGATGGGCCATGGCTCCCTCCGGGGCTGTGCATTCTCCTCGGCCGTGCAAATCACTCCCATGGAATCCTGCCCGACTCCTGCTGGGGCTGAGCTGGTCCTTCTCGGCCCCTTGACTTCACAGGGGAGGGCTGCTTTTCCTGGCTCTCCTATATTAGCCTAAAAATGGAGTGGGGGCTGGGCGGTGGAGGTCGGCTCATTGAAGACAAAGGTAGCTCTTAGAGCTGTTGTTTTGGCATCTGTTGCTCCCAGTCTTGGATGCAGGGTGCCCGGCAAGACTTGCGGGGTCAGAGGGACTCCAGGTCCTGCTGGAGCAGGAGGATGAAGGGCAGGCCGTGCTGTGGAGGGGGCTAGAAAGCCATGATAATGCTGCTCTGCGGTTGCCTTCCCCCTCGTGTCCCATTCGTCTTCCCAGTGCACCCTGTGGCATAGACAGAGGAGGCCTGTCAACGCGAAGCCAACAGTGGCGCCTTCCCCGTCAGCACAGACACTAACGTGCCGGTGTCCTCCAGTCACGGGGTCCCTTCTCCTGACGTGGCTGGTCACGTCCGTGCGGTTGGTGTCAGCAATGGCTGGAGCCGTCATTAAGCATCTCTCCACAGAGCTGTGCCAGCAGGGATAGGCTGCCCCAGCTCCCAAGGGGATTGAGGACAGACTGACTGACTGGGGGCTTAATTCAGCCGACTGACACCACCCACAGGCCCAGCTGAGGGACTGCTTTGGTCACTTCCCCAGCACCTGAGACTCACAGATGCCAGTGTGCAACACTCCAGCGTGGTCGGCGCAGCTGGTGAAGAATGGGGAGAGGTGGCCTCTGGCCTCCAGCCTGTAGTGAGTGGGAAATCCGATGGCTCTTGAGTGGCCTGCATGCAGTGAGTTGGCGGTTCTCAGTCCGGTTCCTAGTGGTTCTCAGTCCGGTTCCTAGCGGACAGGCGTCCACACCACCACCACCCTTAGCACTAATTGGCACTTTCGTCGGCAGTCTCAGCAAGCAGTGGGCTGGGGAGACAGAACTCGCCTAGTGGGCAGAAGGGCATGGCTGCTCCCCGCTCAGAGCTGGGAAAGGTTAGTGGAGGAGTCATGGGGAAGCTTTCCCTACCCCTTCCTGTGCTGTCCCTGCACTGTGGACAGAATTTCCCCCTTCCTGTGCTGTCCCTGTTCTGTGGACAGAATTTCTGTCTCTGGTGCATGCTAGACACTAGCCCGCACTAAATTCACTTTGACTCTAGGTCCCGATGCTAGTCACTTGCAAAACTCCACGTGCACCAATCCCTTGATCACAGTGAGGAGCAGGCGGCTGTCCGGTCGCGGTGTAAGCAACGTAAGAGTCCCTGGCTCCCCTTCCTGTGCTGTCCCTGTTCTGTGGACAGAATTTCTGTCTCTGGTGCATGCTAGACACTAGCCCGCACTAAATTCACTTTGACTCTAGGTCCCGATGCTAGTCACTTGCAAAACTCCACGTGCACCAATCCCTTGATCACAGTGAGGAGCAGGCGGCTGTCCGGTCGCGGTGTAAGCAACGTAAGAGTCCCTGGCTGGCAGAGTCTTACGCATTTGGGGCTGGGAGTTTCATTCCATGCCCTTCTCCGGCTTTCTCTGTGCTGGGGCAGAGGGCGGCCTGGAAGTACCGTTCTCGTCTGAGAACTCCCTGGCAGCCTGGATCCCAGAGCAAGTGGGCTCAGCTTGACAAGGGGAAAATGTTTTCCCTGCACCTTTCCCTTGGATTCTTGGACTCTTTTCTGCTCCTGCAGCCTGCCTGGTATTAAGGCTCTGCCACTTCAGTTTCATTGACAGATGTGCAGCTGCACGAGGCGGAACAGACTCCTGCCCGGCTAATGGGCCTGTGTCCACAAGGTAAGCAAGGGCCCTAGAGCTGTGCGTGGAGCAGGTCCCTGCAATAAGGCACTGCTGTATTTGCCGTCACTTTTCAGAGAAGAACTAGCGGCTGTGAAAGGACGGGCAGGGCACATCTGGTGTCCTGAGCAGGCTTGTTAAAGGAGCTGGATTACATGCCTTCCCCGTCCCCAGGGTGACGGGTTACCATGCTGCAATAAATGATCTGAGGCAGAGAGAGCCTGCTTCCCTTCCATAGCTGTGCTTGGCAGTCCGCTGCTTCTGTCCTCCCCCGTGAGCACCCGTATCGAGGATGGGGCTGGTTTCAGACCTTGTCTCCCCTACGCACTCTCCTCACTGGGGCGGGACTCCTCCTCGGTGTGGTTCCGGGCTGTGCGTCCTAGTAAGAAGCAATGTACGTTTAATGGAAGGAGGGTTGTGTATCGCAGCATTTCCTGCCCACCACCTGGAAAAATCGCTGTGATGTGAGTAAATGGACCATCAGGCTCATAGTCTGCTGTTTGGAAACCCCTGAGCTAATGGCTGGCTCAGAGGGAGGCTACAAATTGAGACCAAAGCGGCCTGTTCCCAGCTCTCTGCCAGTTTGCTGTGCTCCTTTGGCAAGTCATGCCTCCCCATTTGCCTCAGTTTCCCCATCTGTTTCATTGGGCTAGTCCTTCCCTACTTCAGAGGTGTTATGAGACCCAACTGAATTCCCATTTGTAAAGCACTTTGAAGTCCTCTTGTGAAAGGAGCCCGAGTGTGAATGACAGACTGACGGGTGTTTGATTGGCACCTTTCCAAAGGGTCTGTACCGACCCGGCAGCCCCCTGCTCTGGAGTGCTCCCATGCTGTGAACGGAGAGGCTGTGGTGGCTCGCGGCTGCCCCGGCCTTAGGAGAAGCTGGTCCCACGTTCTCTTCGTCGCTTGAGGAACTTTTTGCTCACTGTCAATGTTGTAACAAGCCTCAAACTGAAATGTATATTTTTGCTAGAAGTACAAACCTCCAAGTGTTTTTAATAATATAAATGGGCGTCACAGACTGACTTACCTTGAAATAAATCTGACTTAAATATTTAAGAGACTTTGAACGCATTGCCATGCTTTCTTTCAAGCTCTTCGGTGTCCTCCGGCACTGCTTCTGGGCCAAGTTTAAATGGCTCTTTCATTACATTGCTGTTTGTGGTGGTCTCGCTGAGCCAGCTTGTGCTATTTGCAGTGCACAAAGGGGTCCCTGCTCCCACATCAGTGGGACTCTGTGCAGGGACAGGAGTCTGCTTGTCACAAGATCAGCCTTGGGTGCTGATCAGGTGAAAACTGAGTCCAGGTCTACACAAAGGGGAAAGTCGAATCAAGGTGCACAGTTCCAGCTATGTTAATTACCTAGCTGGAGTCAAAGTACCTTCATTAGAGTCTCCCCGCCATCCCCACAAGGGAAGGTTGATGGGAGCAAATTCTCCTGCTGGCTTCCTTTTCTCCTTGCAGGAGTACTGGCCACCA